AGGCAACTAATGAGGCCCAAGTTGGGAACATATGATGAGTACAACCCCCAAACGCTGCCATACTTCCAATAGCCATTTTCATGTATAGGTCCCCAAACTGGGGATTGCATGCATACGAGAGACAGAATGCCAAATAATTAGAAATATATACTACGTAGTTCCTTTGAGTGAATGTTTGTGTATATTCAGGATGCTTGGAGATTGCTTTTATGGCACTTTTTCCAAGAGCAAAGTTAATATACAGATGTAAAGCTTTTAGGGTCATCTTTATTCCCTCATTTTTTATATACAGCAGACACATAGTTCTTGTTAGTGTTCACAGACTACAAGTCTCATTGATTCAATAATATATACATCAGGTTGAATGAGATCACTGGCACATCCCAAAGGAGATGGTAGTCATTCTCTCCTCCTTAGGAATTTATAATCTAGACGAGGAGATTATACAGTATAAAGATATTTTTTAATCCTTTACAATAAATGGGAATTAGCAGTCTTGTAATGACTTTAGTTATGTTTTATTTAGCATCTAGGCATGAAAGTTATTAAGCCTTTAAAACTGACCCTTTCTGGCTCATTTGAATAGTCAAGTGCTAAGCCTTCTCTTTATTGCCATGCTAGGATGTATCGCCTGTTTCTCTTTCCATTTTCCAGGCGAAATCCATTCTTTACATAAAAGGCGTGTGAGTATCCCCCTTGGAATGTGTAGTCCACAATTATTTTTCGATTTAATAAAGGGGTTGTTTCCATTTAACCTTTTGTTCCTCATATGCTTAAAGAATCCTTCATTATGTACTATGTCTTCTGTTCGGTCCATCGTACTTCTTCAGTTTACCTTTTGATTCTTATTCATACAAGTATGTAGCAGTTCCCAGTGTATCTTCTTAGTCATTTGCCTTTGGATTTACTTTTTATTCATTCCATGTAGGATTCAGTCTCCAGGGTAATTATTTTGTTTGGTTGATGACGATTCCCTCTAAATTCCTTCCCTAATCCTTTCTGTTTTGTTACTTTTCTGCAATTATTCATGGCCTTGAAATGGTTACATTTCACTACTGTTATTTCATTTTAGGTATGGCTAATGCTCCTGTGTTGTCTTTGGCATGGGGATTTCTTTAAAGCTTGTCTGTGATTTATATGAAATTTATTTACAAAGTATTTGTCCATTTGTTATGTATTTCCTTCCTTGATGGGAAATCTTGAATTCTTATCATTTTATGGATGTTCTTATTTCCTAAAATCTATAGCCCACTTCTAGCCCCTAAAGCAGTTGTACTGGTTTATTGATTAACTAGGCAATGATAACTGAGTAGAAGTAAATATTAATATGCATACATACATACATTTGGATATAATATATAGCTGTCTTGATGACATCTGATATCTTTCCTGAAAAGTTGTCATTTGAGGTTTTATTCCTTTAAAGACTTTTAGCTAACCTGATTTTTGAGGTGGTGAGGGTTTCACAATGGCAAGACTTAGCCAACTTACAGTAGGGGCACGGCGTAGAAGTTCTCAATCGCTTTATGAATGATCATATCAAAGTCAAACCAATCTGGTAGCACAATGTTTGAAATCATTCTTGAACTTCTGTAGGTACATTGAACAACAGTTTGTTACCTTATAAGATCTTCGAAACTCCTTGCACTTTACAGAGAAATAAGTCTGAACCCTGTTATTTTATACTTCCCACCAGGTAGAGCTGGTGGGAATGGATACAGTTCTAACAAGCAGTCACTGTGTAGGAAACACTCAGCTATTCTTGAAAACCAGAAGTGATCACCAATGCAAATTCAGAAATACACAGGATTTTGTTTGTAACAAATTTAAACACACATGATATAGGCACTGGTTTACCAAGAAAGTAAATAAAGACTTGCTAAATGAACATTAACTTGCCAAATGGAAAGATTTACTATATTGAGCTTTTTCATATCTATGTGTGTGTCCCAACCAACCTGGTTTAAATTTAGATTAGCCACTCTTCCCCAAGGGGGCTTTTTCCCTTCTTGTTCCAGTAGACTGCATCAGTTTCACTCCTAGAATAGCAGAATATTTTGTAACCTCATGTAGAAAGAACACAGTGAGCTAGAACTGGCTCTGTTATTTTCTTCTTCTTCTGAAGATAATCATAAAGCCTTTAAGGAGCTTAGAACATATTTAGAATCAGTTTAAGGCTTGTGTATGAGATTGACATTTGTAGGAGATAAATCTGAACTCTGTGTCTGCAGACCCCAAATTGTATTTTGACATTAAATATCACCTTTCCATCCAGGACTATAAATTGCGATGCTGGGTTAGGTTTGGTGATATGTATTATCTTCTCCCTCCTTTTTTAGTTTTGTCAGCAGCTCCCTTGAGGAGAGGGAAGTGAAGAGCTTTGACCCAATACCCTGGATTCCAACAGTGATTTCATGAGAGATGTAAGATGATGAATTTTATTCTTAAGAAAACTTAAGCACATACATTCATGCGATGACCAAATGCAATTACTAGGGAAAAGACATGGCATAATAAAAAGAAAATTTCTGTAACTCGAGGCTAACTAATCTCCTCCCCTTATCAAATCCCAATATTTTTAGAAAGCTGTCTATAATACCTGATTATGCTTTTTAACTTCACTAAGATTATTAAACTTTACTTTCCTGAGGACCATATGGGGCTTTGGTGGAAGTTATCTTCCATGTATACATTTTATCATCCTACCTAGTGATTCTGCCTTATTGCCCTTATGTGGTAGGACTAGGTATTTATTTCTCTTAAGCTCTTTAGATAACAAGTACCTTGTGGGCAGGGAGCAAGTCTCTCTTGGAAAAAGTTGTACTTCCAATATACAGCAAGATGCCTAGCATGCGGATGGTATGTTAGACTGGGACATCCAAAAAGTAGATGGCAATAGGACTAACATCTAAGGCTCTGTGGAATGGGATGCTCAATAGATGTTTGGTGAGAAACACTTGTGAAGGAAAAGAAGGGACAATGTTGAAGGAGACTGAAGAGTTATTTGAGTAGACTGCACATTTGACTTCTGTGGAGGAGAAATAAAATGAAGGGTTGCATAGGAAAAATCAGAGACTGTAGTGGAATTTTAAAGAAAGTTTTCAAAATCAATTGGGGAATCTTCAACCCAAGGTCCCCTGTGAGCAATGCTCAATGATTTATAGGACTTCATATCTTTGCCATGCTAAATCACTGGTTGGGAACCATCCCTAGGGATTGTGGCCTCTGCACAAATGGCGGATAAAATCAGAAAACAGCAGCTGGGCTACTAGTCAAATACTCCTCACATTAGGAGAGCTGAGATGCATACTTTCATGGACACTGCAGAAAGTTCTCAATAAATGCTTACTAGGCGTTACACAGTAGAACATGTGCTTAGCCTGTGCGAGACTATGCGTTCAATCCCATTAATTAAGCCTTGATATTTGCCAATGTTTGTAAAGGACATAAAAATCACAAGAGTCTCCCTTACCTCCTTCATGCTTCAGATGTTACCTTCGGAAAGTAGTCTACATGGAATACCATTTAGAAACAAGAATAGTCCTTACTGCCAGCATATTCTCTATCTCCTTTACTTTGCTTTTTAAAAGTAAAAAATAGGGCTGAAGAGATGGCTCAGCGGTTAAGAACACTGGTTGTTCTTGCAGAAGACCCAGGTTTGAATCCCAGCACCCACATGGCAGCTAACAACTGTCTGTAACTCCAGTTCCAGGGATCTGACAGCTCCTTCTGTCCTCCGTGGGCATTGCACGACATGGGTGCACTTACCTACATGCAAGCAATACACGTATACATATAAAATAAAAATAAATAAAAATATTTAAAAATAACTTTATTGTAGTATAAGTGATACACAGTAACTAACACATGCTTAAAGAGTATGTCTTGAGAAATTTAGCGTATATACACATTTAGCTATCACTATGATCAAAACAATGATAGCCATCATGCCTGTGATTTTCTTAACTAATCTTCGTGATTTCTCCTTTCCACCTTCTTCCTGCCCTCCATCCTTCCACAGGCATCACTGAACCTCTTCATCTATATATTAGTTTCCATTTTCTAGTGTCTTATATAATTGGAATTGTGGAATTGTAGAATTTTCACTTTAATAAAAATCTTTTTAAAAATAGAACTCACAGAGATCCACCTGCCTCTGCCTCCCAAGTGCTGGGACTGCAGGTGTGCGCCACCATGGTCGGCTCAACTTTGCACTTTTTTGATCTGACATTTTTCATTTTGTGTGATGTTTTGAGGTTCATCGATGTGGTCGCATGTACCAGTCCTTCATTACTTTTTATGCTTATTTTTTCATTGTATAGGTATGCATGTTTGTATTATTTCTTTCTACAGTACATATCGTCACATGACATTTGTTTATATTTTTATCTGGTTGGTTGTTTGTTGTCCCCAAGACCATAAACATCATGAGGGCAGGCCCTTGGTTTGTGTACTCTCATTGTGACTGGCATGTAGTAGCAATCAAATAAAGATTTGTTGAATCTTGTTGTAGGACCTTTAGTTAAAACAACAACAACAACAACAAAGCTTTGATGTGATATTGATGTTTTGATTATTCATCCTGAAAAGCAACATTAGGTTATCCTGACATACATTTCATTTGGAATCATAACTGGAATTTTAATATTTTTGGTTGTTCTCACATAAATTACAATAAAAAATAAATTAGAAAAATCAAGATTGATCTTTTAACAGACAAATTAAATATCGGTGTTCAATGGCATGCATTTGGTGGTGCTATAAATTAGTTTATACAGAATTTATAACCTTGGCAATTAATTTTGATGGTTATTCAAAACGAATCTGTTATAAGGGCAATCAGAAGAAAGCAGAGATTAATTGAGATAAACTTTTGAATAATCAAAATCTACTGTATTTTAAAAGAAATACATTTTTCTTGTGTACAGATGACAGGGGGAGAGACACACACACAGAGATTGATTCTGCTTACTGAAACATGAAAACCTTGTTTGTTTCAGGATCAGATTTGCAAGTGTGTCTCCCCAAGGGCCCAACATGCTGTTCAAGAAAGATGGAAGAAAAATACCAACTAACAGCACGTCTGAACATGGAACAACTGCTTCAGTCTGCAAGCATGGAGCTCAAGTTCTTAATTATTCAGAATGCTGCAGTTTTCCAAGGTGAGTTTTGGGGATCATTTTAGATGTGATGCTCAATGACTTCATTATTTGGGCACTGGACTTTCAAGTGCTAAGCATTAGTTATAAATTATAATCCAACTTGATATAAAAACCTTCCAGTGAGAGATCCTGTTTAAGGAATAATACAGTTTTAGAGAAGCTTCATTTTAATTTTGAAGAGATGGATATGGTAAAAAATTACTTTCCAAGGACATTCTGTATGTAAATGTAAATCAGTGCAGAAAGAGTAATGGATAATTCTGTCTGTTAGTCCATAAGACTCATTTTAAACAACTACAACAATAGCAACAACAATAAAAATACTCTCAAATTCCAAGGTCAATTTTCTCTAGAAGTGAGTTAGATACTTGTGAAACATACATGAACTCCTTCTGACCACTAGGATCATTTCCATTTAAAAGGGAGAAACTGGCTTGCTGGCCAGCCATTTTCCAGTTTGTGTAAGTGGTTGCATTTCTTCTTTGTGTCAGTTCTTAACCTGCTTGTCAATAATTATGTAAAGAGCCATTGTAGCATTTGCTAGGATGGGCAGGAAATGATTCTATTCTTGCTAATTTAGAGGTGAATCACAGCAGCATAAGGACCTCCTCTAGATTAAAGATCCAACTGGAGATGATGATGATGGTTGTCATAGTGATAGCAAGAGGCACTTAAATAGCATCTATCATGTGCTTTTAAGTAAGCTACATGTATGAATTCATTTAATCCTCACAATACACCTAGGAGTGGATATTTGATATTCCCATTTTGTAGATGAAAACCTAAGAGCAGAATGATTAAGTAGCGTGCCCAAGGCCACACAACTAAAATAAAGGGCGAAGGCAAGATTTGAACCCAGGCGACCTGGTTCTTATGGTCCAGGCTTTTATCCCCTCACTTAGGTTACTTCATATGACTAGGATAATTAGTTATGGATATGAAGCCTTAATTTTATCCCTTATATTTAAAAAATTGTGTGTGCCATGTGTGGTATGCATTATGTGATACTTGTTAGTGTGGGTGTGTGCACTTGTGTGTGCCTATGTGGAGAGATAGGTCAGTGCTGGGTGTCTTTCTCTATCACTCACCATCTTGTATTGCCTGCATGTAGGTAAGTGCACCCATGTCATGCAATGCCCGTGGAGTACAGAATAGGCTGTTGGATCTCCTGGAACTGGAGTTATGGACAGTTCTTAGCTGCCATATGGGTGCTGGGATTTGAACCCAGGTCTTCTGCAAAAACAGTCAGCATTCTTAACTGCTGAGCCATCTCTCCAGCCCCCATCTTTTTTTTTGAGGGAGGGTCTCTCACTGAAACCTCCCCACTCTGAATTCCCAGAGCTGGGGTTAAAGGTCTGCATTGCCATACCTGGCTTTTGATGTTGGTGCTTGGGATCTGAAGTCAGGTCCTTACTTTACCAGCCGAGCTATTTCCCCAGCCCCTTTCTATTCTTTCTAAATTAAGCAGACTGGATAAGCTGCCATGTTTCTGCCCTGCAAAGGTAGGAGTGGGGTCAGATCTAACACTTCTGACCACTTGACATTCTAAAATTTCAGGTTTCTGGCATCTTTACAAGAATTAAGCTCTTTGAATTATAAGGTGGGTTGATTGCACCTTATTTTATGTATTATAATGAAATTCTTAGTATTAGCTAAGAAAGTTATTCAAATTAGCTAATAAGGCATACATTCAGAACAGTTTCTTGTATCAAAGCCTCAGGGGATGTTAGGTTGATTATACAAAGAACAGTATATAAGTGAGAAATATTTGTTAACCTATTTATGCAGTCAGAGTCTTGTGAAGCATTTATTGAGACTAACAATTTAGTGATAGAATGAACAATTTAGGCTGGTTTGAAAAATACATACACTGTTTATGTACTTCTTAGATTGGCTTTGGAGTTGATCTACTAGCTGGAAGTGGTGATAAGAAGCAATGTGACATGAGAACTGGGTTAAGGGGGAGAGGTAAATCTTTGTTCTTGAGGCATCAAGGTACTTGGTTAGAAGGCAGGGTGAGGGATTTGTTCAAGTCCTAGAATAACCAAGGCCCCAGATGGGACCTTTCAACCACTGCCCGCTGTAGTGGGATGGTAGAGTGATGACGCTGGCATTCCAACATGCAGAGCAGCTGTCCTGGGTTGTCTATCTGAGGGTCCTTGTTGGTAGAATTTGTGCATCTGTCCAGACCTGCACTTTGTACATTGTGTTTTATGGGGCTGAAACAGCACAAGACTAGGAAAAAAATCAGTTCTGATGGTATTTTGATTGGATTAGATTCCAGATATGGCTAATGTAATGTGGAAGGTGAATACTAGTCTTGTGAACAAAGGGTGGAAAGTGGAGGCAGCACCTGCTAGTGCTATTCTCTCTCTCTCTCTCTCTCTCTCTCTCTCTCCCTCCCTCTACCTCTCCCTCTCCCTCTCCTTCTCCTTCTCCCTCTCCCCCCTCTGTTTCTCTCTCTCTCACTCTCTCTTGCTCTCTCTCACACACACACATGCATACATACATACACACATACATACATACATACATAAAGGTACATGCACATATACACATACTTTCTTTCTAGGGTTGTCCTTCTGTCCCCAGAAATCTTATTTATACTCATTCTTGTTTCATTTTATTTTCTTTTTGTAAGCCTACCTCACTTAAAAATAAACCCCATAAGATAAAATAAATCATGATATTATACCTCAAAGCATTTATGCCATGTTTGGAGAGGCATTGAACACAAATCCTTTCTGTAACAAAACATTTTGAAGAGAGAAGACTTAAAACAAGGGATCAGTACAAGCTGATTGCAATGAAAAAAACTAGGCATCTATTCCCTTTTTCTTACAGCTACTTATTATTCCCATGAACTGAAATTGAGAGGTACAATTGTTTTCCCCCTAAACTACACATCCCTTCCCCAAGATGCTAGTAGACAAAATTATTGACAAAATCTCCTTACTACTTTGTGTAAAATTTGATGTGGTAGCTTTTGTGAGCTATTTTCTCCACCACATGAAGTTGAAGAAGGCTTATTTTGATCTTGACCTAGATCCACAATCGCTTTAGGATTCCTTTGGTAGTCCACATTGGGGGTATTTCAACAGTGAGAACTTTCCGCAAATATGTGCACAGTTCCGTGAGCAGTCCTTACTGCCTTGATTTGGATTTTATGTCTTTAATTGCAGGAAGCCTTTGCCCTCATAAATGAGCCTGGGGCCCTGGTTGGAGTACTCCAGTGCTAATGTTGTTTTGATAATGATTGAAGCATTAAAAAAGTTGTTCTTTATTTTCAATCTTTGCATTGCCTCGTTTCCTAAATTTAATTTACTTAGATGCGCTTAGGAAAATGGGGCAGCACGATCGTTTTTTGTTTCTGCTTAATTAATTCTTTTTCAGAAACTCCACTAAAAGTAGATTTTCTTTTCTCTTTTCTGTTTCCACTCCCCTACCTTATAATGATGAGTATAAAAATAATAGTGAAGATTTATTAAGTGCTTACTGTATGATTCTCACTTTTACATAATTATCTCATTTAATTTCCCTCGCAGCCCTATGGGGTCTGTACTGTAACCATCCCCATTTCATAGATGAAGAAACTCAGTGATGCCACAGCTTCTCATAAGCCATCCTGTAACACGATTCTCCTTGCTTTTAGTGCACTTGAGGAAAAAAACAAAATTAAGAAATGGTTGGATTTAGGGGTTCTTATGAAGACAATGAGATAAAATTCTGAAAATTTCATCATATCTCTAACACCTCCTCATCTTCAAGCTTTAAATTCTGTTTTCCTTTGTAGGATTTCATTATGACATTCAACCATCTACTACCAGGAACCATTTGGGCACATATCCAGGTTTTTTGCCTCAATGTTGAATGATTCTAGTCTTCTCCAAGGTGCCAGTGACTGAGAACAAGCTCTTTAGAATGCAGCTCTTCACTTTCACTGGAAGTTGACTATCCCACAACTCGAACTCTCAGAGACAGAAAAAGCTGTGCTTAAGCTGAAAACATTTCTGCATATCTAAAATGCTATGGAGCGTCTCCTTGTATACTTATCTCATGTGAGAGCTCCTGGGCTCCTTGATTGGAACATACTGTTCCATTTTTATTTTTTAAATATTTTATTTATTATTTTTATTTTGTGTATATGAGTGTATTGCCTGTGTGTATGTGAGTGCACCCATGCCGTGCAATGCCACAGAGGTCAGAAGAGGGCTTTAGATTCTGGAGTTAAGGATGGTTCGTAGCTGCCATGTGGGTGCTGGGAATTGAACCCAGGTCCTCTGCAAGAGCAGTCAGTGCTCTTAAGCGCTGAGCTATCTCCCCAGCCCTCATACTGTTCCCATTTTTTGGAGATAGGGTCTTACTTTGTCTTCCAAGCTGACCTGGAACTCACTGTGTAGACCAGGCTAGCCTCCATCTCACAGAAATATGCCTGACTCTGCCTCCTGAGTGCTGGGATTGAAGGTGTGCACCTCCATGCCTGGTGAGCCTAGTATTCTTATTAATGTTCAGTCTTCACAAGCTTGATTTTCTGACTTTCTTGCTATTACTAGATAACCAGTTAGATAGAAGTTGTTTGGAAGATTGCTATGGGGTGATACACAGAAGCAACAAGAATAAATAGCAGTAAGGGTGGAGAACATAAAAGGGTACTCAGTCATTCACCAAATGTGACGGTTAGGGGCATTCACAGAGGGATATATGCCTACCTGTCTCAGTAGCACCGACAATACCATAGGTTCTACAGTCTATGTTCATAGTGATAATTGTGACTCACTATGGAAAGATCAGATTATATTCAATCTTGTTTTCTTAATATCATTTTAAAAGGCTTAAAATAATTTTTGTGCTTAAGAGCAATGGAAGAATATTGAGCTTGGACTGGTGAGATGTTTCTGTGTGTAAAGGTACTTGCCACCAAGCCAAGGAGTTCCGTCCTTGGGACTCAAAAGGCAAAAAGAGAGAACTGACTCTAGCAAATTGTCCTCTGTCCTACGCAC